AATCCTTCTTACACGCAACATAACAAGGAAGCCAATGAGAATCCTTCTTACACGCAACATAACAAGGAAGCCAATGAGAATCCTTCTTACACGCAACATAACAAGGAAGCCAATGAGAATCCTTCTTACACAGAAGACCTGCATCCTGAAAACACTAGGTCACCCTCCTCTGTCATACTCACATTGACATATTTAATTCTTTTGAAAGCCACCATGTCTCCATCAGTGGTTGACATGGAGTGTGACGAATACCTAAAACCTGTGGGGAGAAGAGTTTATCAGAGCTTACAATACCATTATGGCAGAGGGACGCTTTGTCCGGTATGTCACAGCGACCGGCTCACCTGTGACCTCCCCGACACACTGGTACACTCCCATAGAAAGGGCCTTGCGCCGGAATGCATTCAGCAAGGACCAGGGGTCAAACCAGCCTTCATTCTCCAGACCTGAAAAACAAACATGCGTTCTGACTGGCACAGGGGCAAATCTGATTGGCCCCCTACCCTGTCACTCAACGACTCAAAACATGTCATTGGCCAGTGATAAGGTTGTCCCCTCTGTATGAATTATGGCAACTCTTATGACCCGAACTTAAAAAGTCCTGGAATCACAGCTGAACTGGCATTGGTTAAATCTATCAAGTGGCTGTTCACTGATGAGAGGATTGGGAAGTGTGGCCTTTTGGGGGAAAAGACTGTCACGGGTTCGAGTCCCACCCTGCGCTGTATGTGTGGAGGGCACATATAGGTTTTCTCTGGGTTCTTTGGTTTCATCAGTCTGAAGAGATGTAGCTAAACTGGAAAGGGCTCCAGCCCCCACAACCCTGCTCAGGATAAGCAGTGGAAAGATGGATAAATGCGTGTAAAGGAATCAGGAGAGATGTGAGGATGTAAGTCAATCTGGACGTGTCTCTCTCATTGTAGGGGTGAGGTCAGATTTACTGTATAATATAAGATACAACATCATACACATTTGACTAAACCTCTATAGTTGCAACGTAATCGGGTTGTTTTGGTTTGTACTGCATGCCGCACGCATGGTAAAATATGTCCGATAACGTTCACGTCTGCTTTAGATGTCTCTTGATAAATTCTATTAAGGCTCGTATGGGATATAAGGCAACGGATGTCCGTACACGTACCATACGAAGCCAGCTTCACCCCTTCAGTGTTGATCCAGGGGAACTTCTCCTTCAGTTGGGTCGGGGAGAGGAGCAGAACCTTGGCCCCGGCGTCCCTAAGAGACAGACGGGTCAGGGTGTCCCGCTACTGCCCTGTGGCCTCCCCCACACGGATCAGAACCGCTCACCGCTGAGTCCTGTAATTCTCCTCCATGACTGCCGCCCCCTTCTCGCTCGCCAGGAAAAGGTACCCTGAGTGGGTGAACTGCAGGTCCACCGGGTCCTCGTTCAAGACACCCAGGTGCTCCTGAAGCGACGTGGAGACTCATGAATGTGATAACTAATAATTATAATTAAACACAACCTCTAACAGCGGTCCAGTGTAGACTTCATAAGCAGCTAAATTACATTGAGAAATCGTCTCTGGAAAGTGTGAGGTGAGGAACAGCTGAAATTAATTTGAAATCCCACAGCAATCACAGAATATGCCCAGTTTTGTGTTACTTTACAGGGGTGTATACTGCGGAGGGGTCGGGGGGGGGGAACTGACCCCAGCTGAAAGCTGATTGGCTGCTGGAGTACCCACCTCCCCGGTTACTCGCTGATTCAAAACATATCATTAGCCAATGATAAGGCTGGCACCCCTGTATGAATTATAGGTCCTCTTATGACTCCCAACTTAAGAAATCACAGAATTGTCCTTGCAATATATTATACACTTCACAGCCCGTGTATGCGAGCAGCATCTCCTTCTGACGGTCTTCTTACATTGATATTCCTCATGAAGTCGGCGGAGGCTAAGGACAGGTGGATGTTCTCCGGCAGGGAGAACTGTTGTCGTATCCCTCCGACAGACAGGACCGTCGACGCCTGGGAATACTGACAGGATCACCCAGACAGTGAGATCAGCGCTGATGCAGACACAGTGCACGCCTAGGATATAGCCATTGTTGGGACAATAAGTAATTTCTGGTGTAACTAACACCTTCACAACCAACACCATCCTACATATTTTACATTAGGCTAACACGTGAACTTCTGTTAAAGTTAAACTTACCGTAGGGTCCTTCTCCACCACCAGCACCCGAACCCCGTCCCTCACGCGCTCCTTCCTCTTCAGCCAATAGGCGATGGACCAGCCGACCACGCCCCCGCCCACGATCACGATGTCGGCGCGCTCCGGGGGCAGGCCGGCCGTAGTGTTCTGGGGGCTCCAGTCGCTGCCTGGCATGGCTGTTAGCGCTTTATGACGGAAAGCTTTGAGCTGCTGCTCCAACTCTGCAAATGGATTCGAGTAATGAGTCATTCCTGAATGACAAAAACTCACCGGTTAGTGCGCACAGCGGTGAAATACGTAACCGAGAAAACAGAAACTGCGTGGTCACCTTGGATAAAGTCTTTGCATGCTGCCCGGCCGGTGCTGAAGCATCGGGCGCTGTGTGGTGCGCATAGGAAAGTCGATGCTAGTCGATAGGGTATCGGATGAAGACTGGCCCTTACACGCTGCACCGCTCCAGCCAGCCCAGTCCACGTCTTCCACATTTCTAGCGTTGTGTTTATCTCAATTACAGAGGAACGAAAGTCTTAGGAGCCCAGCATCAGTATCTTTAAGATCGGTACACCCCGTCATTGGTTTTTAAACCTGAAAGCTACCTCTGCAGTTAATCTTTCAATGAGTAAATTTGACCTACACCGAGAAGAATGCTTAAGCTCCCTGTGCTGAACGGACCCAGGGTTGCCAGGCATTATAAACTGTTTCCTGTTTGGTTGCGTCTGAAAATCCCCCGTCGTGTCGCGCTTAAAGTGACCTGACACCTATAATGTTACTTTAACTGTATACCGAAAATGTGTGTAAAGATAATAATCCTTTTAATGATATGTTCTTAAATATATCCTTTAAGTGAAATGTAAGGTTAGAGCCAATTTAAACAATTCGTGTTATTTTTATAAGTATCTATACTGCCTATAATTATATTTAGCGGCAATCATTATAAAAATCATTATAATAATTTAATGCCATGATATGGAAAAAAAAAGCACTTCAAAACTGAACTTCGAATGTCTGGCAACCCTCAGTACAAATGCAAGGCGTCGAGGGGCGTGGCTTCCGCGAAAACTGGGCAACACGGAGAGCAGCCGCACATTATACCGTCTGAGTCACGTTTAACAGAGTTTATTTTTTCCTACAGTAACTGATTTCTGCCTCCAGTAAAATAGTATAATGGCGGTTTCATCACTACAAACTTTCTACATGGTACTTCACATTAGACAAAATAATTATAAGAGGAATTTAAACGGAATCTTTAATGGTTAGGCGGGACTATTTTATGTTAAAATATTGTCTAAAAAAGGTAGCCACAATTAATAAAGTACTATTCCAGGTACCTAAGTACATATTTATTTTAGATATTTTTAAACCAGAATTTTAAGCATAAAATTCACATTTTCATGTTTTGTTTCGGCACTTGTCCACTGTACCAGTCTCCCGAATTTGAATTAGCTGATGTCACGATTTGGCTGTTTGACATCTACTAGTTACAGCGCTGGCAGCTATAATTCATGTAAACATCTAAACAAGTAAACTTATAATGTCAGTTTTGACAACACAGCGAGACACACCGTGTGTCTTGTGCAAACAGGGGAATTGCGAAAATGCCCCTTTAGGGGAAAGGCGTATTTACCCCGCAACTAGATTTTTAAATTAATTTAGTTGTTTAGTGAGAGGTCAATAGCCACTCACCGATTACAGACAGTTCCATGACAGCATCGAATGGGACATTTTGATGACATTTTGCAAACGAAACCAGTCTGTATTGAGTGGTACAAACCACTAAAATATGTGTATTGAACTTTTACGAGCAGATAGCAGGTGACAGGAACGATCTTGTTCAGGGGAGGAATTTGTCGTCCAGGTCCCTCACCTGTTGTTAACTTGCAGCTATGTGAAAAGAAAAAAAGACATGCTCCCTCTGCAGGCGGCGTGAGAATTGCAACCAGCTGGTATTTACGGAGTTTTGAGGCATGACTGGAATTGCCTTAGACAGAACATTAATATTTCAGAAACATGGAAACCCGCCCTCGTTAACTGCCAAGTTAGAAGAGAATAGGTAATAACCTTCTCGGTAGGATGTATATTAAAGTGGAGGATTCCCATCAATGCAGCCTCCTCCCGTGTCCCCCATACCACTCCATCAGATAGGAGCTCTCTCTTTACATTAGAATATGTATTATTTCAAACAGTATACTGCTCCCCCCGTCCCTTAAAAGCATAGAAGCATCTCCTATCCATCTGCTGCTGTCCATCTCTAATAACTGCGTTTCCGTCAAGTTACCGTCTGCTTGTTTTCTGGCCGCACGCGAAAAAAAAACACGTAGGCAAAGAAGAACATACGTTAAGGATACTGCTTGCAATTGTGCATGTATATCTGGAAAATGGCTAACCGCAAAAACTAGCCCCTCGATGAAGGCAATATTGTTTTTTTTATGCTGACATTTTCAAACAACACTCTTAACAGCAGCAACATCGATTTTGATCGAGAACGACTTGCGTCCCGTAAGTATAGTTTTGCAAATAAGTGGATTTCCATCGATCCGGCAGTGTTATATTGCATTTTACAGGCAGGTGAATTTAAATAAAGTCTAACCTACAGCCCGAGTACCGCAGTCGATGTTCCCGGCGGTTTTTCTTTGCCGGAGGGCGCTCTATATATATAGGAGGCGCAAGAGAGCGATGGGTCGGCGGTCCGATCCCTGATTCGACCAATCGGAGCACGGCTCCGCGGATGAAGTCATCAGGTATCAGTAATTCCTAACTAAATCCAGTCATCTCATTTTACAAAATATGGTTTATGTCAAGTCACATTCCCACAGATGTATACCCGACGGTTGTAGTGGAAACTTTAGGCCATCAAAAGTAGAACGCTCGTCTTTTCTGTTAAAGTAGCTGTCTTTAAAAAATAAACATTTACCAAACTTTAGGTACCTTGTATATCATTTTCTTAAAGTATACACAGAAAACATACTGTGCAAGATTCCTCTAGCAGCACACAAGATGAACGACACTGAAGATAGGATTTTAAATAAATTCTCGAACAATTTAATGAGTACAATGAAATAAAATTATTAAAATATTACTAGTTTCATTTATAACATGGGCTTGCATGTCATGGGACTGAACTATGCTGAGGCCGCAACTTTACAGCACAGCGTGAGGATCTCACAGCAGACTGCTGCAGAAAGGCCCTTCTGCTGGAGGGGGGGACACTCAGCAAGGGGGGGGGGGCAGGAACATTCTGGAAGCCACCTTCACCACACGGTGCACAGAAGCTGGTCTTCCCATGTCGTGGATGTCAGTGAAACATTGGTGTGTTCAGGTCCACTCGGAAGGTGCCGGAAGCGAAGAACAGGAAGAGAGAGGTGGAGATGACATGCGTTCACATTTCACACGAGACCGCTAATGGGGAAAAGCAGCAGCACCTCAGGATTCAGGGTCAGTCACACGGGCGTCCATCACCCCCCCCACGGACACTGTGTATCCGCCGTCTGCAAGACCCAAAACATAAAGAGCCCCCCCAGCAATGGACTGGCACCGCCACACCACACTGAGGCTAAACCTCTAGACATCAAGGATGTTTTTTAAGGTGGGGGGGGGGCACAAGAGGTGCCATAATTCATACAGAGGCGCCAAAACTTATTAGCCAATGATACCTTTTGAATCAGTGAGTGACAGGGAAGGGGCACTCCAGGCACCAATCAGCTTTCAGCCAATGCCCACGTGGTGCAGCCCCTTCCAGGCATCATTAGTGTCACGTACATTAAATACAATGCCAAGACAGCCCCAGAACTGTGCTTTGGGGACTTAAAGGTGGGGTATCAGGCCTCTAGGTCAGTGTTTCTCAACCCAGTCCTTGGGGACCCCTAGGCAGTCTGCATTTTTTGCTTCCTCTGAGCTGGGAGCAAAAATGTGGACTGTATGGGGCCCCAGTAAGCAGGAGTCACGACAAATTTAAGAGAAGACAATTAAGCAAATCAGTAATTTTTTTTTCTCCAGACACAGTGTTAAGTTAACTATCATTAACACTGACTACTCAATAGAGTTAATTACCTTTAAACATAAATATCGATGGTCTTAAATAACACACATGGATTCTTCCATCTTAAAACTACTGTGCATCTAAAATAAATTAAGGGTATTCAAAATAATACAGTGCCTAACACAATGGAAGATAGAATCAACCATGAACTGATCGGAGTGGAATGGAAGATTTCAGCCTGAACCGTCGACATGAACGCAGGCCATGTCCAAATCCTTCATGTCTGAAGAAGCAAATTGAACGCTAAACAAGCCAAGTTATGAGGCAAAGTAAGTGGGGGGGGGGGAAGAAAGACCAATATCAGTGAATTTATGCAAGGGTATCTGTTGGAAACTCCCACATTATAGCAACTGGACATTGTTAATAGTCTGGATAAAGAAGAGCAAAGAGAATGATGGAGAGAGTGATGAGCGAAGCTTCAAAAGGGAGAAAAAAAAATCTAAACTTTTAAAAAGAGAAATCTGTGCTGGCTGCCACACGGTGCTTAACAGTGTGAGCAGATTGCATATTGCTATTGTGGCAGCCACACGTAAACACACACACACACACACACACACACACACACGGCCAGGGGTCGGGGCTAGCCCCACAAGATCAAACAAACAGTAAACATGCGCAGGCTGACCGGCCGAAAGGGACCTCAGCTCCAGGTGACCACGCCCATCGATTAAGGCAGCCAATCACAGCAGCCGAGGCACCTCGTGGTCATCACCGTGGCTTAAGGCCCTGCCCAGCCTACCAATCACACATCAACAAAAGCCCAGTATCCTCCAGATGTTTCGGGCTTGCAGGCTGACCAGCCCCTACAGGGACACGGTCTAACAGCCCGATAGAAAATAAGTGCCTTTCGTCAGCTAACAAGAGCAGCAGAGCTAAGTGAATCACCTTTCTGTATCTCATCGCTATGGTGATCAGAGGATCTGGGTATCTCTGTATCCCTGCCCCCAAAGGGATCCAGAGTGCACCCGCTGCCCCCACACTCAAGAGCAGGGGCAGGAGGATTAGAATTCGCCTGAAAAACGAAGCAAAGGAAAGCAGCTAAAAGCTCCAGAGGGCAGCCCATCGGTGCGAAGCTCATTGGCTGATGGACAGGTCAATCATAGCAGGCCACGCCCACCCACACAACGGCAAATCCGACGGAAGATTTCAAACCACGACGCAGACAGTCAATTTCCTGCCATAAAGGGGAAATGCACACCTCGATGAGGAAGCACTTTCTTACACAAGGACGCCCATGGGGATAGCAGGGCGAAGAGCGGATGGACGATGAGAGGGATCCGACTTTCCCCTCACAGTAATCAAGGCGGCGACCCACACGCGAGCCTCTTACATGGCACTGGAGAGCCAGCTATGAGGAGGCTCACTCATTCGCCACCACAAGGTGGCGCCCTTCAGCCAAGGTTGCTGGAATATTTCAGCTATCAAACACATGACATGTAGGCACCTGCTCACCAGGGCCAGGACAACGGAACTGGGAAAATATCAAGGGATTCCACTTAAACTTTTGGCAATACAACGTCGTCGTATACCACTGTCAAAACATGGCTTTCCTATTTTTACCTGAGTTAATCTTACATATACATCTCCATAAAAATAAAAAAACAGCTCAAACCCATTCTTAGCAGGGATTAGTTACATTTATGTTATATATTTGTACTTTTAAAGAACAAAGAAGGTGAATGTAAAGTGCTAATGGATTAAACATCAAACAGAGGTGGGCAGGCAAAATGAAAGCCAGTCAGAAAGCCAGAAGAGCGCTGAGGGGTGGATCGTATGCCCCGAGGGCACAGAGAGCCGCGGGGGGCCGGCACGGTGTCCATCCCGACCCGTAAGGCACCGCGGGCTGGAGGCGGACCGCCCCGATTGTCTGTCCGCATGAGCCACCCCCCCCCACCCTGATACCAAAGGCAGCTCAGTCTGCCACAAAAAAAAAAAAATCAACAAACAAAAAAAAAAAAGCTCCAGCCCAGAGTATCCCAACTAAAGAAAAATAACCCCTACACAGCCACGGGGGACCTCCATGCCAATCCGTCTTCCCGCCTGCACGTTAGACGACGAGCATCCTGACTGACAAAGCGACTGTGGAACGATTAGTGCAGCAAAGTTGCAGTGAAGGCTAACAGACCAGGGCAAACCGCTGGCAGCCATCACTGTGTCTGGAAAGGGACCGGCGCGCCCTGCAGGACGACCTCTCTGGTCCTGCTCCAGGGTCACACTTCTATACGTGCCTTTACAGACAGTATTTGGGGATGTAAACGGTCCACAGCAACCACCGACCCCCAAAGCATGTTAAGACAGACAGACAGACGCCTCTCAAGGGCTCCCTTACGCTACACCACGTAAGACAGATTTCCCTGAAAGTCCACGGTTTTGTATTCTGTTCGTGTCATGGCGTCCGCTGACCAGGATTCCAGAGAAACACTACATTAAAAACAGCACATCCCCGCCACACTCAAAGTACATCATGACGCAGGGGAGGGGGGGGTCCCCAGGTGTTCATCTTTGCGGGAAGGAGCGAGCCCCCCCGCACCACGCCTCCGCGGGTAAAGATTGTGATCGATTTTAGCTCTGAGAAGCGGTGAACTTGGCTGCCGGGGCGGGGCCACTTGCAGAAGGGGCGGAGCCAGCTGAAGGGGGGCAGGGCCAGTCAGCTGAGGAGGGGCCTCACTGAGCCGGCCCGTCCAGGGATTCGTCGTACACCAGCACTCTGTGTGGATCTACAGGAGGAGAGACAGACGCCAGATATCAACAACAATGCAGCCAATCAGATGTTCCCTGTATCTGCTCACGACAATGACCGAGTCTTAAAATATCATGTTTATATGTCTCAGTATGTATTCTCTATTTTTTTTTTTTTACTTCCCATCAGCATCACGACCAATGAGAACAATAATTCACCTCAGTGTATGACTCCATGCATCATACATCAACAGAAGTAATAGATTTTGATTAGGGTTGGGCAGGATTACGGTAATACGATACAGCGGCTTCCCCCGCACCTGGCAAATTTTATCAACAAGATTTCAAAATACCGGAATAGCGTTGCTTTTTTAAAATATATACCGTAAACATACATTATAGCAAGGTATTATGTTTTTACGGTAAGAAAAATTAGATACTCTCCAAGCCTGCTGTTGGCTTTTTCTTTTTGATGCTTTTCAATAAAAGGCAGTTTAATCAAATGGGTTAAAAACATGCAAAACTCACCTTGTTTTAGCAGATTCAAAATATTTCCAATTTCTGGAAAAGAAGGTTAAAAAAAAAAAAGGAAGTTATTTAAATAACTGACAGGCATGTGTTAGGACACCCCAGACAGAGCTAAAGGTACTGCAGGACCACTCTGGCAATTTTAGAGAGCCACCTACAGGATCCGGGGTGGCCAGCTCCCCCTAGTGTATAACAAGAGGTTGCATGTTAAATAGTGATGACTTAGAGCAGTAGCCTAATAACTGCTTTTCAGCACAAATGGGATCAATGAAGTGCATCTCAATCGTAAATGCCACTCAATAAAATATGGCACTGAGAAGTGCCTGCAGTTAATAAGCTATCCTCTAGGGGGCACTGTACATTTTTTTTTTTTTTTAAAATACAGAGACCTGATTGGTTGCTTCCTTACCTTTAGTGTGATACATAACAGCAGCTTTAAGGTCAAACAGCCTCCAGCTACACCTCTCAAAGGAGCCCTTAACATGCCCAGACTCTTTGTCCACCTGGAGTTGCCCAGCACCAATGTCCCTAGGCGGTACCGCGCCCTGGCTACCAGCATTGGTTCTGTGTGGGTCGGAGCCCAACGGCAGTGTCTGGGCTGAGCATTTGGCTACAGGAATGACAGACGGACTTTCTCTCGGCACGCCAGTAGGGGGCGGGCCGCTAGTCCGTATGTCAGATAGGGATGTATTTTCGGGGGCCCGCAGGTCAGGCACAGCCGGAACCCTGTCCTGAAAGAGTGCGTCCGTGACAGACTGACTCCCCCGGGGGCCGGCGTTGGGCTCGTTGATAAAGGACAGCCCCCATTCGTTCTGAAATATGTCCCCCAGGGCCTGGCAGCCAGCTGGACTCCCAGAGAGGTCCTCTGGGAAGGCACTAGGGGGCGCCAGATCTAAACCAGAAACTGTCAAGGGGTTCAGAACGACACTGGGTTCTCGCTGCTCTCCCGAGGGTGTGGGGGTGGCACCACCGTCGCCATCGAGGGAGGATGCTACATTCGGGTCCCTCAGGTAAGAGGAGGCTGGAGCCCCACGTGAAGCCGCTGCGGGCAGACGCTGCGCCGTCACGAACGGGCGACCATCTCCGGAAACGGGGCCATTGGCCAAGCCGGCAGATGGGATTGTTTTGACAGCAGACATGGGGACCTGCGGGGGCAGCGTCTCCGTGGCGGAGGGGGCCGCTTTGTTGAGGTTCTCCTTCACTTTACTTGCGTAACTGATCTTGGGCACGATCTTAGCGCTGCTGTTGTCGACGGGAAAAACGGGAAGGGGCCTAAACAGAGTCCAGGAATCTTCTTTCGCTGCTGCCACTGGCGAGACTTTAGCTCTACAGACCCCGTCCTCGTTCCTCCTGCAGGGGGCGCCGGCCACCTTGGCCACCCCTGCCACCACCCCGACATTCTCTGGTCGCGGGCCTGTGGCTCTTTCACCCAGTTCCGGGCTGGAAGGCTCAGACTCGTGAACCGGGACAGCGCCGCCCTGCTGGACAGCCTCGGTACCCCTAGCACCATCAAACCGGGCCTGCCGCTTCTTGGCCGTGGCATAAGCACTCTCAGAGCTGCCCCCATCATTGCCAGGGTACCCATTTCCCATGTAGCCTGGGGTGAACCCCACAACCCCGTTCACAAGAAATGGAGACTCTTTGTCCGCGGGCTCGTAAGCACCACCGTCTGGGGCCTTGTCTCTCTTGCACTCCATACTGTTGTTTCGGGGGCCACTTCGGCTCCCCGTCTTCGCCGGGGGGGGCGCAGCTCCCCTCCCCACGTGCCCTGGCCGGATAGTTGCCTCTATGCGCAGTGGGGCACCATTGCTGTAGCTGACATAGGGAACGCTGGCAGCATCACTAGTGGGGCCAGTCCTCCTTGCCTCCGCCAGGCTGCCGTGTACTTTTCCGTTGCCTAAAAGGAAAAACAGCCAGATATTAATTACCCGAAATACCCCACCTGTTCCCAGCTTAGCACAGCCAAAATACAACACAACTGGGGTTCTCATCCTTGTTTCTGGCTGTCACTACAGCTGCAGGACTTGGAGCACCGGGCTGGTTAAGGTTCTCCAGGTGTCTTTACATCCTTGCACCTTTGACCGGGTGGAATTAGGTTCAGTGCCCATGGAGTCATGCCAGGCCGTCCCCCACCCCCAAATACCGGATGCCCAACTGAAGGTTTAATACGACACGGCCTCCATTTCATAAAGTATCGCCACCGAGCCAAATGCAGCGTAACAAACACTTTAAGAAATATCCGGTAAAATGTGACACCGGAGCTAGTAGCCAGGCTGTTTATGGGGCCTGTAATGTTTCCATCTCTGGAAGGGGAACAGAGGGCATCGGAACAATGGCGTGATGGTGACTCACGTTCTGTCCGGACTATTCGAGAAGCTCCCAGAACCTCCAGCCGGGCAAGCAGCGCTATATAGTGAGATGTTTATCAAGCTGGGCATTCATGTATGTTTTGTTTAGTGCATGGTTTTATCCAAAGTGACTTTTTGAGAAAGCAGAGTCAGTCACAGCAGCAATTGGGGTTTAAGGGCCTCGCTCAAGGGCCTAAATGTGGCATCGCTGTCGCGATCGCAAGCACATCGTCCGAATCCATTGGCTCTCCTTTATCATGTAGGAACATGATAAAAATGTTTTTTTTGAACATTCAATGGGAGCCAGAAACCTGTTATGGGCCTTGTTAGAGCAGTGCAAAGGAGCGATGTCCTGGTGCACATCACGCTTCTGAACATCAGCCCATGAGGCTGGGTGACATGAGGGTCAGGGAGAGTCAAACCGGGGGACTTAATCAGCAATATTTAAATACAAGGACGTCAGCCCAGATAATATTAACTTGAGTCTAATATCGACCTCCGTGGTGAGGCTTTGAAAAGAGTCTGCAATCACAATAACACGCCGTCTTCGGATAAAAAGAATAAGCGGCTTTTCTTTAAACAGGGTAACTTGATTAAAGGGACTAGTCAGATTATTAAGGCACAGTTTAGCCGTGGTTTACTGGCTGTAGAGCGGTGACCTAGTTAAATTCCAGCGGCTCGGACAGACACCCCAGGCGACGACCCGGGCGGAAGAGCCGCCGATGGGACTCCTTACGGCCGCGGGCAGTCCGCCTCGAGCAGCGTGCTAACTTACGGACCGGGCGGTGGCGCCCGAACCGCCGAGTCCAAACGGCGGAACCCCACCGGAAACAGCCCGGCGCTCCGGCGGTGTCCGCTTCCAACATGTCGGACAGGAAGTGAAGTGTGAGCGGCGGGGAGCGTCCAGCGGCGCCGGCGCCGGCTGCAGGGGGGGGGGGGGGGGGGCGATTCGCATGGCGCCCAAGGCGGCCTCTTATCTTGCAAGCTTCCCGGAGCGGCTGCAAGAACGCACCGATCGCGGGCAAGGTCAACCCCAGGCGGAGCCGAGAGGCACGCCGCGGGCGCGCCGACAACCCCCCCCCCCGCCGCCGCCGCCGCCTCCCTCCCGTCCACCCCGCTTCCTGCGCCGCTCCGGAGGGAGTCCCGCACTCTGCAGCCCGGGCGAGGCGACCGACCTGCTTTCTTCGCCGGCGCTTCCTGGTGCTGGTGCTCGCAGCGACTCTGTGCATCTTTCAGCGCCTTTCCGGGTCCGCACTGGCCGCGCTCGATCCCATGCTGGTGCCGCTTCTCAGATGGCCGCTCGCCAGGCCGCTCCTCCATTGAAGTGCGACGGGAGTCCGTGTGGCTCCGCGCAGTGTGCACCTCGGGCTCCCCGTAGTATGGAGGCTGCCGCGCTGCCCAATCAAAGGCGGCGTCTGGCGGAAGCTCCACGGAGCGAGGACCGCCCTCAGCCGCCGCCTCACACCGCCCCCCGGGCCGAAACGGGGTAACAGCACCGGCGGTCCGCCGGAGCGAGGGGGAGAAGCGGTCCAAGAAATACATAACATTTAAATTAAATTTGAACGCATTATATCTGCAAATATGTATTTACATAGGACTAGAGTTATTTGCTGTAGTTATTCATTGTCAATGTATTTTAACCCCCCACACCCACCCACACACACACACACACACACACACACACACACACACTATATATATATATATATATATATATATATATATATATATATATATATATATATATATATAGCCGCGGAAAAATATTAAAAGAGCACTATGTTTTTAAACAAATCCACATTTTTAAATCATAGTTTAATTGCGGATCTGCTGGCATTAGGCTACGCTGAAGAGCAGGATGCTTTCAGGTTCAAAATTTCTAAGACAGCAGTGAAGAATAAGGTGAAGCAGGAGACACTGGGAACGACCGGAAACTAGCCAGAAGCGACTTTCTAATGTCAGAGATGACCGTTAACTTATCTACCAGTTTCTCACGAATCGTAGGATGACAAGTGAATTTCAAAAGGAATGGGAAACATTAAGTGCAAGTGTGAAGTGCACTGCTAGGACAGTTCGTATCAGGCTGATAGAAGCAGGACTGAAGTCCCTTAAAGCAACGAAGAAGTCCTTCATCAATGAGACACAGATAAGAGCCAGAAAAATATATATTATTCACAGACGAGAAATTGTGCTGTGGTCTCTTAATTTTTTCCGCGGCTATACACACACACACACACACACACACACACACACACA